TATGTCCAATAAACAGGGTATTCAACCTGGAAAAACAAAAGAAGATTTAAGATTTAGTATGTTTTAAAGAATATTTGAGGCAAAGGGCTTTCGTCATAATATGCGTAATATTCTGAGTCAACTCAGAGTTGCATGACTCTGATCATAACTTCCATTAAGGTTGTCAAAATACCAGTCAATACCACTGACAACAGCTCTTCTCAGGACTAACCTTGACTGAACAATCAAATTAAATGATCAAATGCTACCCCTGATTTCAAACCATTTCCAAAGAATGTTATACTCACTGACAGTAAAACAGCTCTTAAAAAGACACCCATAGCCCTTTACACCCTGATATCAGTATGCATATTCTCCATACTGTTTTCTCTACATTTCCTTGGGTGCTAAAAAGGAGAATTTGTGTAACAATCAATAGGTTAATTAGCTGGTGATCATTTCTTTTCATCATGTGACCTTGACTGTGTGATTCACTAAAGTACTGGTTATCCTTCCTTGTCTTAGTGTTTTTCAGTAAAACTGATGGAAGAGTGTATATTTTTTTCATTTTCTGCATAAAAATATGCACACAACCTATAATTTCTCTATTTGTTTAGACAAAGGGCTGGCCCTTGAAACAGCAGCTTCAGAAATTCTTTACAAAGGCCAATTTACATCGTCAACTCAGTTGGTAAAGCCAGCTTTCTCCCCTTTTACCCCCACTAACACAGCACCACAGCTTTTTAAGAAATTTACGCCTATTAATCATTTGCCTGTTTTTTTAGTTTGGTTGCTCAGAACTGCACTTATTCTATGGCAGTGCTCATTTGAGTGGAGGTGTCAATTGAATGATTTACTTTCACTGTGATACTTACAGATATCACTCTGTAACCAAGACTTGAAAGAGTAAGAATTTGTTTGAAAAACACGTCAGCAGTACCACTAGCAGGAGGTAAACAAATGAGGGGACACTGTACAACACGAGGACCAGCATCATAAACCAACCACTCCTTTTCATCATCAATATCAACCACAATCTGTAAATGAGAGAAGAAAAATACTACATCTCAGTTTTGTTATTAGCAGTGTAGAATATTAAAGAACAATTCCCTTGAACTTTTGATTTCTCAAAAGAAAAAAAAACAAAAACAAAAACAAAAACAAAAACATTCATACAACCGCAGAGGGAAATCAGGGAACATGAAAATTGGGCACTATGTCTGAAAAGTTGCTGTATGTATTCAATTATTCAGAATAGAAAAAGTGAAAAAAAGCAGCCTCATCCATTTAGAGTGTAAATTCAGTAAACTCTAATAGGAAGAAATTTATTTGCTTTCCTCTCTTGTAAAGGAAGATACCCACATTTTACTTTAACCCAAAACATGACTCGTGGTGAAACAAAATTAATGGAAGGTTGGAAGGTTTGTTCTGTAAGAGGTATAAGATAAAAACCAAAAGAGTAGACATATACATTGGATGTGGAAAATAAGGACTGGGAACTTACCAAGGGAACAATTCCCACAACAATGAGATAGCAGCATGGGTACGATTGGAAAATGTATTATTGATTTATTCTAAGTTGAAAAAGACATTCCTTTACAATTAAATTAAGTTAAATGTACCTTGCACTAGTAAGGATTGGTAATCTATGCATGATAGTAGCTAAATGAAGTAGTCTACAAGGCAAACAATTGTCTACTTCTGCTCTATGCAGTGAACAATTTGTCCAAGAGTCAACGAGAAGAGATTAAAAAATTTTGTGAAATGCAACGAGGCATGTCTAAAAGCATTTCTTAAGACTTCCGTTCTATAGTTAGTGTAAATATAGTGCAATGTTGTTTGAAGATCTTTAATTAACAATATGCATTCACAAGCGGGCGTAAACATTCTAAATGCGGAAAGAAAATTCAATCATTGGAGATACAAACTTTTCTTGAGCTATGTACGCACGTGAGTCCTCAGTGATCAAAGTTGAAGCGATGCGCGAGCATTACACGAGTAATCTGCATGACCGTACAGAAACAGATCAACGTGTATTTGAATTGTTGATTCGTAACAGTTTAGAAATTCAATGTTTGGAGCAATAAACTTCGTGAAAATAGTACGAATATGAAGAGCTTTTTAACTTACCCGTCTCAAAGGAACAGAACTACGAAAGCTGATGTACTCTTGAGAACGTGTAATTGCGCTCGCACCAGCCGCCATTTTGATGAGCGCTACTTAAATCCAGATGTACCCTGTGTGTTTTTTATAGCTGAAGAACCCACTGAAACAATTAAATTTGTTCACCCTTATGCTTGCGGCAAATTACGTACAAAACTCCTCCATGGATGCTCTTTGAGAGAAGTTACAGAGGCTCGAGAGGAAATTGGAATGAAATGCAATCCATAATACCAAGTTTGGACCCAGTCCTAGCTGAGGCCCAAGCAAACATACAAGCGATTCAAGCAAACACATTTGTATCGAGGGAAGACTGGGACTTATAAAAATGAAAGCTCTCGAAAATCCTATGAAAGGATGATCTTTTTGTCTAAGGACAAT